CTTAATCAAGTACCTATGAAGTTGGTAGTAGCTCTTGCTATTTTCATCTCCATGAAAATCAACCAATCCACTCATATTAGTCTTACCTCATAGATGCTGCGACAACTATGAGCGACTACGGACATTTAGAATAACCTAGTTATTCAAGGATTTAAACATGCTAATGTAGAACACACAAATTATTTAATGAAAGACTAATATCCAATATATGTTGCTTGTACTGTTCCAATATCCAAATACTAAATTTCAATCAAATATATCTACTTATATCAACAGGTCCCTATAGCACCAACTTGACTTTCATACTTTAGCTAATGAAAGAGCTTTGTTAAGTAGATTTGACAAACTTGATTTGTATAAACTTTGCGAATACAAACATTTTCAGTTTTATATATATAACTCATATTTAAAGAAAAACTATTGAGAATGTATTAGATGCTTAAATATGACTTAGATACCAATAATTGTGTAATGGGATTACTCATAGTCATAATGGACTATACATTAAGCATCTTTGTATGTGGTTCTCGAAAACCATAATGTACTTTAATTCTGATGTGTAACTGTAATTAAAACTTTCATGGAAACACTATCCATGTCACTTTCTCTTCATTCATAATGAGGACACGCCCGATTGTGACTGAGAGTCATCTCAATCTATTTGAAAATTTAGCACATGTGCAACAACTTTAAATATAGCTTTCTATCTAATACTTTGTAGATTAGGAATATTTCTCTAGTTCTCGCAAGTACTTTATAATGTTCCTATAAGTCACACAATGACTCATTCTCGAATTATATTGGTTTCATTTGGCATTCCCTAAGCATACGACTTATTTGGCGTTTATGAATAATCATGACATATATCATAAATCCAATTGCAGCATCATATGGAATACAATCATATTATCTAGTTCAAAACATTGTAGTAGGATTTTGAGGAGTGCTCAAAATCATGTCATGTGGTATTTGACAAGATAACTCTCTCAGAGTCCTTTATCTTAAGCTCTTTTAAGAACCTTTACAGTTAATTCAATTTTACTTAATCCTTTAAGTTTCCATGACATATCTATATAGATCTTTATTCCAAGAGTTAGTATGTCGACTACATATAATACTAAGAATGTTACTGCACTCCCACTAGCTTTGTATAAAAAGACTATAATCATCTTGATTTATAATCAAATCACACTATGTAATTATCTTATAAGAAAGTAGATTCTTACCTTGAGATGTTAGCTTAAATATTGGAAAGATTTTCATGCATGTATGTTTTCTCCTCTGAAAACTCACTTACTCTTTATAGTCAAACTAGATCGAGGAAGATTAATCATGCCCATACTTGATAATCATACATGAATGCATCTCTATGTGTTTTATTTGATTCTGATCAACTATTGAGCAGATTCAACAATAGTTGAAAAACTTGCTAGTTCTAAACTATGATGCATTTAGCTTATGGTTCTTTAGCTCTTAAAGTTCTTATTGCTCCCACTTAGAAAAAGAACTTCCTAATCACTTGTCTTATAGAATGACAATTAGTAGAATTAGTAGAAAATTCATCCTAAACAATCATTTAGGATAATCTACATAAATGTAGTTTAGTAGATGTTAGAGTGGTTAAGCTTATTGTCTAACATAAGCTTTACAACTCCATACATTTTAGATAAGGATAAACTATTACATCCTTATTGTAATGAAACTACTTGTTTGGTTGGAATCTATATATATATATATATATATATATATATATATATATATATATATATATATATATATATATATGGTGTAGTGAGCATAATTCCAAAAAATTTATAAAGTAAATAGTTCTTTTAATAAACATCATATAATAGACTGAAAGGTCTATTTTTATCCTCTTCAAAAACTTGTACCATCGACATTCAACAGTGGTCAGGTGACCCTATCTCACTAGAGAATACGAAGGCTACCTCAAACATCAAAAGATAGATCTAAGTGACTAGGTGATCCTGTGCTATAAGAACAATACTAATGACGAGTGAGTGTTTTTGTTGGAATGAGTTGTGAATCGATTCCACAACTCTTAAGATGTTCCGAGAAAACTTGGTTTACAAAACTCATTTTATTTATCACAATGAAAGGTTAATGATGATCTCATTAAGTTCTATCTCAATCTTCACTATGAAACAGTTTTAGCAAATCAAAACTTTCAACCATAATGAATAAAAGTCGTCAGTGAAATTGATTAAGTATCTATCACCAAATCTATTCATAGATTGAAAAGATTACATAGATCACTTATCTATAATTCCTTGTCAAGACCATTGTTCTTTAACTACTAATAGATAAAGACACTTGTGAATCATCTTCCCATATAAATATGATTCACATATATCAAATGAATCAAGCTCATTTTCCATTAAAAATTCCATCCGTTTGAAGTTGGTACATGTATTTCTTATTTATATTGTCATGATGATTATGACATAGATAAGTTCCAATCAAATAGCATTTGATTATATAGGTGTTATGATCAAAACTATCAATTTAATGAAAGATTATAAATTTACATCATAAATAAAATTATGAGAAAATATTCTTTAACACAGAATACATTGTTTCAGAACATGAATGTGAACATCCATTAAACGATAAGTAAATATGTATTTATTCATAAAGTTACAACTATTACATGTCCCTATAAAAATAGGTACAAAACATTTATTGTTTAAATAAAGACTATAACAACACTTGTTATATCTTCAGCAAGAAATATCTTTTGTTTGTAATCAGTTGATTATTTCTTCCAATCATCAGCACATAATATCAATTATTAGTGTCACCTGAAGTATAACATACTGCAGTGAATGATGGAAAAATAAATAGTTCTATCATATAGACGTATGAAGTCTTGTCCAAGTCAGACTTCTTCAGCTCGATGAGATTAGGGGACAAATTCCTCTTTTAGTGTTTAGTTTCTTCCACAATAGAAACAACACTAATCATTTGGTCCTTTCTTGATTTCTGGGTTAATGTTGTATTTCCCTTAACTGAACTATAAGTCTATTTGAGTACACAATCTCTTAGACTTCCTTTTATTCAATGCTTGAACCATCTTAAAGAACTTTCTAGTGTTCTGATTGAATATCTGCTTTACTTGATGAGACATTTGATATGTTTCAAAATTATCCAAGACTTTCTGCAAGTCAATGTTAATTATTTCCAGTATGATGTGAGACACATCAACATCATCACAATAATACTTCCATCAAAGTATCATGATCAGACTGACTAGCTTGCAGAGGTTATTCAGGTATGGGATCTTTCAGTATATATATAATTTCTATTTATATTAAAGGTAGAACCTGAAGATATTATAGCAGTTATAGAAATTATAATCATCAAATGTTATTGTCTCTTGAAACTCAACAAGAGAGAGGTTTTGCAGGACGTAAAATTATTAACAGTTATCAACAGAATTTAACAAAGTTTCATTTAGTATTTTAAATATTTATTCTTTAAAAATTAATACCTTTTATTGTTTCTTAAAACATTAATTTATTAAAGTCTAGGATCCAAGTAACGAAACAACTAAATGGTTAGGTGACCTTCATCTCATAAACTTAATCAAACTCGGTAGGTAGCGATTAACAATTACATACGATATGTAACTCCTAGATTATGGGATCCTAAACAACTATTTCTTAACTTGGCATGTTTATTCCATCTATGCCTCAGACCTCTCATGCTTAGGTGACCTTTATCACACAAGATTCCGATCAAGTCATCATACTTGAAACAACTTGTAGTATTGTAACCAACCGATGACAAGGTGATCCTTTAGAAACCATAAACTACAAAACTACCCCGAACATCATAATCCAATCCTAATGATCAGGTGACCCTGTGACACTAAGACCATACAAATGATAACGAGTGTTCTTCAAAAGTACGCCAATGACTTGCATTTTTAGAAAAAGGTTTTATATATGTTTTACAATTACATTTGATAAAAACATGATCTCATGAATATTGCATGCATCCAACAATTCATGTACCATTTTGTAAAATTCATATCACTTGTTATGAGGTTCTTTAGGTGCCAAATAAAATTTCATTTTATTTGCCATTAGCCACGATCAATTATAAACTAAAATCCTATATTTTAAAGTTTAGTCGTAGATCGGTTTTAAGAACCGGTAAGAGTCTTAATAAAACTTCATTTTATATTTAATACTTGGAGTTTTGGATGAGTTCTAAAATCACAATTTTAAATCTCCTTTTAACAGTCAAAGAACGTATGACTTCATGAATTTGTAGAATAAACTCATTTTATTTTATAAACTCAATTTTATGCATCTTATGATAAAAGTCATATTTTGTTAAACCAAAACTTCGGTGATGATACTTATGTTTTAAAAATCATTTGGCATGCATAAAATATAATATCAACATGTTGCGTTATGTTTAAAACACCAATATCATATATTAAGTTTCTACGCAAAAAATAATCACTAGTTTTATCATTTGCCGTTATAACACTATAAACCAATATTTAGTCTTTTTAATAAAAACTCTTTATTATATATATATATATATATATATATATATATATATATATATATATATATATATATATATATATACTAATTTTGAAGTGCCAGGTGAACAGGACTGGCATCCTATTGGACCACTTCTTAATTTTTTATTTTTTTTTACTCTTTTCCATTAATTTTGGGCAGTGGAGTGGATGACAGTAACACCAAGCAACGTGTTCTCTGCCTGATTTCACCGCCTGTTTAACCAATAACAATGAGATTAGTGTGAGTATCCACGGCTTCGTTCCTCTTCACCGATAAACGCAATTCAGCTCCTTCCACACCGACTACTCTTCCCGATCCTTCCACCACTGCCACCAGATGCTTCTCTCTTGCAGTTTAGTCCCTCCCTAACTTCACAGTAAAACATATCTTGCACCTTCCCTTCACTGCCTCATCTCCCTTTATTTTTCAGAGACAAGGATGAACGCAGGAGGAGTTTCGATCCCGGTAACCGATTTCCTCCCTGTGCTTCCAATTAACATGATCCACCGCCTCGCTTCCCATCTGTACATTACACGTATACATCTCCACTTTTTTCCTTCCTTTCTCTTTAATCCATCGTCTGCAACTCACAACCATTCTCCAGGTAAGCCCTAATTTTACCTCTAGGAGTTTGATGCGTCGATATACCCCCGACTTTGGGTATGAATTGGGTATGATTGTAGGTAAGCCCTAATTTTCCCTCCACTCAGGCATCAACCCTCTTTCGCCTCTGTATCTCCAAGGTTCCTTCCCAGTCGTCATCGCTATGACTTCCAGTCGCAATGGTAATAGTAATGCATATCAATTTTGAACATCTTAAATCTTAGATTCTACCCATTTTTACTTTTATTATCATCAGATTTGATGATTAGTTTTGGGTTTTATATAAAAGCAGCATAATCTATCATTGGGACCATTCGCCTGCCTACCGCCTCTTTTCTGTTTCACGAAGGTCACCGTCGCACCGGTCGTACGCCTACAGCCGCATCGATTCATGATGGAATTCGATAAGCCCAACTCTCTGTCTGAGGTACACTCAACACGATTCTTCTGTTTGTGTGGATTTTAGCTGGGTTCTTTGTTTTTTCGATGAAATTTTTTGTTTTTTGTGGTGGGGTTTTGGTCCATTTTGCCCTTGTGGAGGAATGAATGACCTCTTTGTTAGACGATTATTGAAGAGTATTGTCAGACTATAATATCAATGTCATTGAAAACAAGACCGGAATTTACAACGTACCTGAGGATATGAATTTGTTGAAGGAAATGCAGGATCATTGTGGTAAGTTTCTTCAACTTTTTAACAATATCTTTCAATTTTTTAAAGTAATTATGCTAAAATTTGGTGGTGGTTGCGCATTATTTTCTCTTATTCTGTTATTTAGTTGAGATGGCAATGGGACCATTCATGTACTAACGGAAGATACAATGAACTTATTGAAGATATAGTACAGCTTGCAAATTTTAAATTCACTTCAGGTTATAACCATTTTTTTTGTGGTGGTTTTCTTATATTTTCTTTACCTATATATTTATGTTATACGACGGTTTTATGTAATTCGGGCGTTACCTGCAATCTGACCAGTTTTTTTCCTTACAAGTAGATACAAATGGAAAAAAGACCAGGTCTCATTTTCTAATACCCTCTCCCATAGATTTCATGTTCCTATTGATATAATGATGCTCTGGAGAATTTAGGGCTTCTATTGTTTTAATTTTTTAATAACTCATTATCTTACTTTCACTGATTTTGACATCTAATAGAGGAGTAAGGGATTTTGTTTGAAAAATTTAGAAATTTATTATTTGTAACACACAAATATGGTATGTTCTAACACCAACATTAGTGTTATCTAAGGTTCTTAATTATGACAGTGTGAACTCATTTCAATTTCAAAATAATTTCAATTTTTTTCTTCACCCGTAAGAAATTTTTATGACTGCAATGAATTTGCTTCAATTACTGAAAAGTGGAAAAACTTTTGTGTTGATATTGTTAAAGAATTAATTATCTGATGCATTTTGTGTAGACTTTTATAACCTGTTCGTACCTACAATCTAACCAGATTTTTTTTCTTACAAGTAGATACATTTTGTTGAGAACTACTAAAGAATCACGTGAAATTTCTAAACCAGTGAAGTAAATTCCGTGCATCCCAGATTGGTAACAAACTAACAACATGATCAATCAATAACTAAACACCTTTATATTAATTTTTTTATGGTTGGATGTGTGTGTGTGTTTTTTTAATAATTTCAGGTGGTTGCAGGTATGATATGCAAGAGGTAAGTTTTTTATTTATTGGAGAAGAGCATGTCAAAAGAATAGAGGCTGGATACAGCATCATTGGATTTGGTGAGTCTATCAAAATACCCTTTAAAAGCAGTTCAATATGTTTTAAAAGAAACTTTTAAAAATGTTAATAAGTCAAGTTTAAATGTAAATTGTGAGAGGGGATTTCTGTTAGATTTGGCTGGAATTGGAATTTAATTCGATTCCATTGATGACGACTGGGAAGGAACCTTGGAGATACAGAGGCGAAACAGGGTTGATGGTCTGAGTGGAGGGAATTTAATTCCATTCCATTGATTGTTCCAATGGATCCACCGTGTTACATTTGGACATTCCATTTTAAAACTCATAAAATTCAATTCACAGGAGAACTTGAATAAGAAACTCATATGTTTATTTTACTAATACGTGGTAGGCCTATATTTCTTTTTTTGAGCTTCAAACTATCATATTTGTGAAGTCTTTAAATATGATACTTAATTCAACATAACTGTTAAAGTTCCACAATTTTAACCATTTTTCCTTATATTTTTTACAGGGTTTTAAGACTTCCACATAGGAATGCTGCAAAATGCTAATACTTTTTTCTATGGAATGTATTTACCAGTTCATGAGTTTAGAACTCCACCCAAATATCTTCTTGGACAACATCCATATTGTACTGTTCATTTTGATGCTTTCCATGTTGTTCTTAATTATACCACTGTCTACATCAGCTTACTAAAAGGTGGTGTTCATACCATGAAGAAACCAAGGTTAGTTGGAAGTTCTATCACTGCATGTTAATTTTAGTACACAATGGGAAAACGACTAAAATGGTTATTTTTACCAAAATGGCCAAATTGGTCATCAACAAAATAAAAGTATCTGGTAAAAATTATTTCATTTTTACATATTAATATGCAATGATTTAATTGACCAAAAAATGTTATTTTAATGTATTGAACCACAACCTAGATTTAAAGATCCACAAGCTAATTACAAGTTGGAGATGATAAACAGTATAAGACCAAAGAGATCAGGTTCGTATTCAGATTCAGACCAAGTGAAGCTGAGAGACCAGTTGAGGCCTTAAAGGAGGCGGCTGCAAAAAGTCCTCTAGCTGAAGCTTTGAGTCTTTGTGTGTAAACGAAAGCAAGATTGAATATTATAATTTCCAGATGATCTGGTCCGTTACAAAGAATTTCTTTTTTGTCTTTATTAAGTGCTTAATTTTGATCATTTTTTATATTTTTTTCTACGGACGATTGTTGGTGCAGAAAACCCGGTTTAATGTCTGCAGCTGTGCAAATTTCCTATTTTTTTCCAATTCTTTGGTGTATCCAACCCCGCAAAGCGGGGTACTTCCCTAGTTTATTATAAATACATGAAGTTTATATAAAGTTTAAACATCTTTTAAATCATTTCAAATATTTTAAAGTTGAGTATTTATAAGTTTTACAATAAAAAAAATTCAACAAAAAATTGAGTTTTAACCGGTAACCGCTAAAACGTTTTTATAAATATCCATTTATAAACATCTTATGTTATCTTTTAAATATTTTTTTACTCAAACTCCAAGTGATATTATCTTATGGAAAAATGTTATTTGACATGTAAAAACCATTTTCATACATAAAACATAACATACATTTAACATAAAATAAACATCACAAGCATGCATTAAAATGTGTGTAAACCAACCCATGTCTAGTAATAATTTTTGTGATCCATCACAAGAATTATTAAGTTTTCCTAAACGACTTAAGGGACACTACAAAAGGTCTTTAAGCTCCCACTTGCTAAGTCAACTCTTTCTTGCAAATAACTTCAAATCTTCATGTTGTGAAAGTTGCAACACTTAAACCATTAAGACTATAATTAAGCCCAAAACCAAGAGTAGAAGCTCATGGTTGGGATTATGGTCTCAAGTGGTTAAGTCATCTTCAAAATGGTCATTTCTTCATCTTCTTACATTTAAAAAAAGAAATACAACTAGTCTAACTAATTTATTACAACAAACCAACAAATGAAAAAAATACTTATTTATCTATTACCTCTTATGAATAAATAAATATCAACCAAACACAACACAAAAGTCCAAATGGCTTGTTTATACACAAAAACATATTAAATATTATAACAAACAAATCTTTGTTTTTTCTAAGGCAACTTATATATAACCAAAATGCATGAAAAGTGGTTATATAAAAATAAACAATTTTAACCAAGAAGTTGCCAAAGAAGATAAATAGGGATTTTTCTTAACAAAAAGAAATTCATGCTTGTTTTCCAAAAACCAAATATTATCAAACATAATAAACCATTCTAACATATAAAAGACGACTCTGATTCCACTGATGAGTTTTGTTACGAAATATAAGATCGTTTTTTTACAAAAATCGGCAACGGAAGTCTTTAAAAATAACTAGTTTATTTTTAGTTCATCACAAAACTAAACCATCATGGATCCATTTATAGATGTTAGAATGAAATAAAAACAACCATAGGATATTTTGGAGATAACCTTTGAAGCCTTTGAACCCACTTGGTTTTGGGGTGTTGACGAAGATGTAAAGATCAAAGAACATGATCTTCTCTACAAGTATCCACCATCAAGATATGTTGGAACCCTCTCGAGGTGTAGTAAGTGTAACTACCACCACACCGGAGCTTGCCAGGAGATGCAGTGCATAAATTGCCGCAGGAAGGGGCACACTGCCCGTTTCTGCAGGGCACCGGCACAACCAATCTCCCAAGTCCCCGGAGTAGAAGTAAACCATGCCTGCTATGGTTGCGGTGAGATTGGGCACTATAAGAGGGACTGCCCAATAACGAAGAACTCGGGTGGGGAAGGGCGAATACTGATGATCACCGCAGGAGAGACTGCCTCGGAACCACCAGCGAACAGCGGTACGTCTTCTAAATAAAATTACTTTCAAGATTTAATTTACATTAAAAATTAAAAATTTTGGGAAATTAAAAAGTAGTTATAAATAACTCACTCGTCCGAACAAGTCACGGCATTCATAAGAGAACTAAAGATCCGCACAGGTGAGCTATGATGGCTTAGTATGTACATTAGGGTTATGCATAACTAAGATTTTGCAGACTTAGAGTGAGTGATTCCGCCTTATTTCCTGTTCCTTGTCTGGCTGTGGAATTAGGGCAGAGTCACTCAGTCGACTGTCTTATTCATCTTAATTATACATAACTTGTATATGCCAAAACGATCATAGAGATACCGAGAATGGTCATAATATAAAGTATCGTCGCTAGTTATCAAAGCACTTTCAGTGCTAGCGCTCGCTTATTGCGGTACGTTTTGTGGTAGTGGTAATATCGAGAAAGCACTAGAAAATATACACAGAACGCGCTATCGAGTACCTACAGAATGCACTATCGCTCTAACTAACGTTTCTTTCAAATCGGCCTAACATTTGTCTCTATAAGGAGTTCCGACGTTGTCATTCGTCATGGATTGGCGTGGTCCCCACCATACCAATTTCATGTGCTCTGAAAACTTTTCGCCGTAACCGACCGACTAACGAAATCCTCATCATTCGTAACGAAAAACCCGACACAGACCGCAGAATCGTTTCTCTCATATTCTAGACCCCGAAGTACTCATGCGAGTAGTACCTTGCCCTCCGAAACCTCTTCGATGTATACCCAGCAAACCTTTCAGAACTACCATTCGTCCAGCAGGTCATGTTCAAGCACAGAGGCTAAAGACGAATACGGTTAACCTATCACTACTAAGTGTATACGCGAGGGTAGTATATAAATTATATTCTGCAGACTAAGAATGTGTGCTTCCGCCCTATCTCCTGTTCCTTGTTTGGTTGTGGACCTGGGGCAGAGTCGCACATCCGACCGTCTTACTAATCTTAATTATATACGACTTGTATACACGAGGTAATGATAGATGGACCAGGTGTAAATCCTATCATGAACTTTAGGGCAAAGTTTCCCAGGTCTACAAGTGGATATTCTACCATTCAGAGTAGCACGACCCCAGGAATCCTGCTAAGAAAGCTAATTTCGAGACGAAATTCCATCTAACAGGGGGATGATGTCACAACCCGAAAATTTTTATTCTTATAAAAGTCAACTCTAGTCAAACTTATTCCTTCCATTATCTTAAATAATATGGATTTTCGGATTATAAGTATTGAAGCCTTGTAACTAGTGTGTTATAGTTTGGAGGGAAAAGCCTTAGGAACCAAGAACCCTCGCATGGACCACAAACCCTCGCAGCCGTGAACTCCGAAACCATGAACTCCGAAGTCGTGAACTCCGAGCCGTGAACTCCGAAGTCTTGAACTCCGAGCCGTGAACTCTGAGTTGTAAACTCTGAAACCGTGACCCCTCGGACCGTGAACTATACCCCATATATATATGAGTTTACTTCATTTTTCTTTCATTGTTCTTCTTCTGGCCATGATCTCTTCCATTCTCTCTCAAGTATCATCCTCAAGAACACTCTTTTCTTCCCTTAAACCTCCCTTTTCTTTTATATCTTCTTGGAATACAACAATGGGTCTTCAAACACTTGCCAAACAACAAGATCTTTAAGTGTTCTTCACATATTTGGGCCGTGAACCCTTCATAGGGCCGTGAACCTTCATCAGGGTCGTGAACCCTTCATGTTTGGGCCGTGAACACTATCACTCCATAGGGCCGTGAACTCCATTTCAGCCTCCTAACTTGCTTCTAACACTCCTTTGGTGAGTTATTCTTTAATCCTAGGTTGTTTGCTAAACACCTTTGTGGTTAGATTCACTAATTTCATGCCTATATGTATCATTATATGCTATTTAGGACTCATTTGTGCTTCGGGACTTCACTCGTGAAACTTAACATCCTTATTCCGGTCTTCAATCGAATCACTCACATAAGGTGAGTTCATACCCCTATAATCTACCTTTTTAAATGGTTTTAAATGCTTTTAATGGGGGAATACAAGTTGAACACAATAATATTGTGTTAATATTTGCATGTGATATCAATCACACAAAAGGCTTTCTTATGCTTGTAAATAAGGTGTTCTAAAATATAAATTGCTTATTATGTCTTTCTTACCATTAAACTATATTTAAAACATGAAACTTGTTAAAACATGGATATAAGATTATAAGCTATAATTTAGTTTACGAAACAAAAAGGATCTTTTTACAAACTCATCTGTTATTTATAAAAAGGGTTCCTCGCATTATTACTTGTAAAGTCGTTAATCTAGATTGTGAGACACGTCTTCGAGTACTTACGTAAGTACCAGTGGAAGTCTACCCTTATGGACCAGAGTCTCCTGGAGGGAGAGCATGAGTTTGTGTATAGATCTATACGGGATTAACAATCCCGCACCTCGCTGTTAGCTACAGCCGGACCGACAGGTCTGCGGGTGACAAATGTCATATTTTGCGAAGTCTACAATACGTCGTATTTTATACTAGTCAAATTTAGTATGGTCATAAAACTCACAAATAGATAAAAACGATATATTTACGTAGTAATATACTTTTCATGAACAAATCTCAAGGTATATTAACTATGTGATTACTTAGTAAATTCTATTGGGTTAGATAAAACTGAAGTCCGATTGAAAGTGGAATGTGTGTTTTCCGCCTTACTTCCTGTTCCTTGTTTGGTTGTGGGCTTAGGGCAGATTCACCCATTCAACTGTCTGTTCGATCTCGGTTATATACAACTCGTATGTATTAAGTGATCATAGGATGGTAGTATTGCCGTATGATGTTTTCAGGGTAAACAAATCTTTATTCAGTTTAACATATCAACAAATCTAGATATCATTTAAGTAAGTATATGGATTATACTTGTGCTTTTCGAACTTGAAATAATTAAGACTACCAGTCGGTTTTATAGGAAATATAGGATTTTCTATGGTAAACATCATTCTTTTGAGATAAACAGTTTTCGATAGACCTTTCTGAAAACAATAACATTATTTACCGAAAACAATGTTTCACAATAGAGTTAGTGAAACTAGAAACTTAGTTATAAAAGGTTTAATACTTTTTATTAAACTAGTATAACATAAAGGACCTTAAATGGTTAATCCTATAATTCCTTAGT